GTACCTCAAGTGTGGTCCCGTGAACTGAATGCTCAATGGCAGCTGGAAAGCATTAGATGGTCCCTTAGACTATATCTTCTGGCTTGGTTTCTTCCGAGAGAAATCCTGTTTGCATGGGCCAGCTCTGTTCTGCTGTATGAACCAAAGCAGGCTAGCAGGAGAAGATGCACAGATTCATTCCAGCCACTTGACTGATCCAAGCTAAAACATTTAATGCAGCTGCGCCCTTGCCATACACATTCTTAAACAGACGAGTAAGGCCTCAATCTGGTAAGCAAGTTTATGGCTATGCAGCAAAATAAGTTGATTGACTGGAGAGTTTTGGCTCTGGACTCACAGTTCAGTATGTTTGTATCTAAATGCACTTAGTACATGTCTTGTTTCTGCAATACAAATTTGAAATTTAGCTATTTGTGCATTTAAATAGAGGTTACTAAACACCATTGCTTTGTGCTGGCTTCAATAGGATGTGAAAGCTGTTGCAGTGCTACAGCTTAGATACCCCCAAAAGGGAATAGGAATAAGAATTCCCCAAAAGAGAATAGGAAGCAAAACTCAAATTCCCCACTGAAAATTCTTTAATTCAAGGTCTAGTGGGAGAGAAACTCCTTGTTATATTAAAATTCGAATTACATGTTCTTTGTTAAACTTTGTCACTATTATGCAATTGATTATAATACATGGTACTTCCTTCCAGGGTTATAACAGCTTTTGTCAAAATAATATTTTTTTTAAATAGCTTTTTTTCTTGCCAGTTGTAGCACAGAGGCAATATGAAAACAGAAACTAAACTTCATGTTATTTTCTATAGCTATCTCTCAAATCCAGGGGAAAAAAGCAAGCAAGCAAGCAATCAACCAAACCAAGTCAAAAAAAACCCCAAACCGAAACAAAGAAAAAAAAAATAGTTTAACAAACTAATTTTGAATTAGCAGCGTGTGTTGATACTAACATTGCAAGGTCATGATTTCAAAGTAAAGTCAGCTTTACAGAGAGGATTATACATACAGAAGGAAATAACTTTATATTATTTTCTGGCATAAAAAGAAAATAAGCATGGCAAAATAATCATACGCCAGTGCAGTGGAAAACTGGAGGAAATATTTTAACCACTATAACTGCGATGTATGAGATTTGATGATAGTTTTAAAGACATCGATGGATTCAAATCGATATTTCACATACATTCCAATAGTCACGATGCTGTGTATAACACTATCTTATTGCAGAATGATGCAGGATACAAGCATTCACTCATTCAGTATGAAATAATTATACAAGAACACAGCTTTTTCAATATCCTATTGTTGCATGTTCAGATTTTACTGAGTAAATCGTAGCTGCCATCATGAGATAGACAAGGAATGAGCAGGAATGAAAAGCAAGTTTCATAAAAATCCTGTAGAAAGAATGGCTCTGGTGGGGTGCATGTACTGTCTGTACAGTTCCATCCCTCTGCCAGCCTTGGATCCTGCCACTGCTGCTTTGCAGTGAATGAAGTCTTGTGGATGCAGTCATGAGCTCAGCTGTCCACAACGTGTGCCCCTACAAGGAATACAATGGTCACACATCCTTCTCCACGCATCTCTCTTGGACACGCATGCAATGGCATTTGCTTCCACTTGTAAGATACTGTCTGCATATTTACCATGTTTTAACATGGGCACACACTGCTCTTTCCTCCTGATGTCAGGGAATCTGAGAGCTGGCATAAATAGGTTTGGTGAGATGAGCCAGGTCTCCCTTGCATGTCAGACAGCAGTGCCATGGCATGTTTCTGACACTAGCAATTTTGCAAAGACCTTCTCCTTACAGAAGAAACATTAATTTAAACAGCCTCCACCTATAACTAAAACTCTACCAGTCTGCAGAAATCCAAGCTCCTTTCCTGAGCATCCAGAGCTATAAACACTGTTTATATCATCTAGCATATGCACAGATTTTATGCAAACTTTATTTTGTGCAATAGTTTGCCTTCCTCTTCATAATATTCCATTTATTATCTTCCTTTTTGTATTTTCTTCTCAAAAAAGAAAAGGAGAAGAGGAAACATTGTTTACAAAACTGTGTGCCGGTATTCATACATATATCCTGATAGGATGATAATGCAGTTAATATAGTGCAAAGTAAAACTGTCAGGCATCAGAAGAGATGACTATCTATAACCACAAAGAGAGAAAGGTAAAGTGATGCACAGAAGAGTAACAGGAAGAAAACACCATTAAGAGAAGGAAACCACATATGAAGGGAAATTCCTGTCAGTCATTACCATTAGGTGGTAAAATAGATATGTAGAAAAAATGCAAAGCTGTTGCTCAAAAATATTTGAAATTAGACTTTACGCATCACTTCATTAAAAAATACACCTAGAAATAGAGTCAGCACAATACCAAAGCTGATGATGACAATATTGAAAAACACAGTTTTTATCACCTAGTAGCACATGAGTGAAGAGTCTGATGAAAAGCAAAGCCAGAAGCATCAGCACTCTGTAACTACACGCCATGTTGTGCACTTTGTGCCATGTCCCTCAGCTGGTCATGTCCTAAAGAATCACCTTTATTATTAACATCTATTCATTTATGTCTCCCCCCACAAGAGCCCCTTGACGTGGCCACCATGGCACAGCACAAGCCAGCCTGTGCAGACTATGTGACACAGCTGGGAGGGGGTGTACCTTGGCAGAGCTCCCAGTGGTTCTGGAAACCCCTAGTGCCTCTCTCCTGGGTACTTCTGTTTTCTGGGAAGGCAAAGTACTCCAGGCATACTGATCACAGACACAAGAGACTAGTGTTCCAGCCTCCAGATCTCCCAGGTACTTGACAAAACATCCTGGACATCTGGTGAGCCAACCATCTCCCGACCAGCTGTCCCCACTACAGTCAATAATACCCAAGTCTACTCTCTATCTTTAACAAACGTATAGTTGCTCTTTGCGCAATTATATATCTGAGAATGTAAAGATGTAGATACCAGCTGCTGAATTTTTGCTACATTAAGTAGCGTTGATCATTACAGATACTTGCAGCAGCACATAACTTGCACGTCAGAGCTGCCTTTGGTTGCAGCGCTGTATTAATAACATTTGCAGGCTAACTCACTTTTGTATAATTTGCAATGGTCAAGAAGGTATTTGAGGAGAATTGTATAGATCACTAAAATAAGAAATTGTGTACCTCTCATGGGGCACAGCTTATATTTTCACAAGGCTGAAGGTCGTCCTCCCATCTTTTATGAGACGAGAGGAAACATCCTTACAAGGGTATTTTGGTGTTGTTCCACTAATTTCATTGCTTGCTGCAGAGTGTACTCCTTCCATAAAAGCTGGAAAGTTAAAACTTCCCACCAGTACCACTATGACTACTGCCTCAGTAGATAGACCAGTTACACTTACTCTCTGCTATACTTCAATGATTTATGTAGTTGTCTATATGCGTGAGAACTTCCTTTTGTCTTCTCAGGCTTGTTTAAAACCACTCAAGGCTGCAAAGTACTGCTTACACCTCACATGAAAGTTGATTTCAGGACAGTCCACTTTAATCTGTTCTTGGCTCTGAGTACTGATTAGGCCCCAAGCAAAGAGCAGAAATATGTTTGTTGGCTGTAAAATGAAGAAACCTGCATATGCTAAGAGAAAAACATAAAAATGTCTAATAAAGCACCCACACTTGATATGTTCTATCAAGGCAACTGCCTTAAAGGCAGTTTCTGTTATCACAGCTGCCAGGGCTGTTTATTCTCTTACTTTTCCATGTGACTTCTCTTAAACTCATAGACAGACACCAGTTGCTGAGAGCAGGTTAAGTAGAAAAACAGGCTGTGCAGAAACTCCAGTATCTTAAGTGCAAAAACGAATACTTTCAGCAGTCTGAGGCCCCTGCAGTGTTTACTTCAGTCTAAGCTCTGGTCATGCTGCCAGCCTGCAGCCTCTTATGACACAGTAACAAAGGCCAAGCACTGCTAGATACCTCCTGTACAAGGAAGCATATTCCAGGAATGCTGGAGCTGAATTTGAACTTCCCTTATCAGGAACAATGAAACTGAGAGCAAGCAGCTTCCTTGCTCAAGTGGAAATGACCACTTTTCAGCAAGTGCTACTGTCAATCACTGCAAGACAGCCCAGAGGAAATGCAATTGTGATAACTGAGTGGTTTTAGTGCCTATAAAGGAAGTGAGTAGTTTAGCTTTCTTGCTCTGTGGAGAAGGGGTTATTACTGTGCCATTTTATGTCAAGTCCTGGAGCACATGCACAGTTTGTGCACAAAAATGGGGTGATGTTTTCCCTTTTAACATAGGGCCAAATCAACCCACCCATATTAACTTTTCATGACAAGATCTCTAAAAAAGGCCACACCATCCTAAAATTGTTTTGGACTTAATTTGGTGTTGTCATGCAATTAGGTTTCACAAAATTGGCTTCTGGACTGACAGCTTCTATTGTTACAGCATATGGCAATCAGAGAGCAGCTTGTGGCAGATGTGATGTTTATTCACCATTTGCTAGTTTTAGATTTAATGATGTCATTCTAATCAAAGCAAATGTTAGATGTGTTTGACATCTAAGGAGTTTTGCACCCCCCTCATCATGTTTGAGCCGCTTCTGTCAAGTGGAAACATGCCAGCTCTGAATGCATCTAAGTCATATTTAAGAACCAATGATGCAATTTACTGGAGGTCTGTATTCTAAAAATCCATGTTTCTAACATGCATTGTGTTCCTCCAGCAGACTACAAAGACCTCCTATTACAATAAGTGAGCTCATTAGCCATGCAACTCCTTAGTCTTGCAAGCTGTTGCGATAAGCAGCTGTTGCAAGAGGGTAAAAGGTTGAATTATCAACTTGGACAGAGCAGCACTTCATTCAGCCAGCCCAGGAAAGTATTTTGAGTAATAACTCCATTACTGTGGAGTAGATCTTTGACTACAGCACACAAGCAAAACATCAGTGGTATTTCAGTGACATGCTTCCCCACACCCAGCAAGCAAGACACTCCCAGAAATTAATTGTCAAAAATTTATTATGAAAGCTTCAATAGCAGCAAGTATTTCAATAAAAGTTATTGCGGTATTAAAACAGATCTGCAGAGTGACCCAAGAGGCCTGTTGAAGTCTGTCTGCTTTGGAATATCTGCATTTGTCTTAATAACCAATCCCCAATACTCCATAAATATTGATACTTTCTCCTGTGTTTTGCAGACAGCACCAACAGTTCCCAGTTACAGTACTCTATCCAGTCCTTCTGGAAAGTTTTGGCCCACTTCCCTCAACTTCCCCTCTCCCTTCTGAAACAGCTCCACATAGCCAAACTTGCAATACTTCTTTCAGTTCCATGGTATGTCAGCCTCTCCACGGTTGCAGCCTACTGAGGCTCACTGGTGAGATGAGCTGTTTTCCTCTTTCTCCTCTGTAAGAGCCCACTGCATGCCAGTCTGAGCGACTTTAATCCAGTCTCTTGACCAGGCTAATCCATGGAATCAGCAGCTTGTTGCACATTTTGGTGAATGCACAGCACGTTGAGAATGCAACAAAGGTTTCAGCCTCCCCAGTGCACCAGGTGACCATCACTCAGGCAGGGGGATAGTCGGCACCCAGTCATTGAGATTTCGGCTCTCTTCGCAAAACAAGTTCAGCTTCTCCAGAGCTGGGTCCTTCCAGCCTTCTTCATTCGGGTTCTGCAAGAAAGAAAAAAAGTTGCACACGGTGAGTACTGCCCGCCAGCTGAGGTCATCGTAATATTTACAGAAGCATTAGCTTAAGACTGGAGGCACTTCCAGAAAGTTACTGTTCTGACACAGACAAGACAGGAAGCAGAGATGCTGCCCTTGTGGACAGCAGAGGAAATCCAGTTACGAGAAGTTCTGCCTCCTCCTACTACAACTACTCAGCTGACTTTCCGTGCGCCAAGCGCTTTCTCTGTGCCCAGAGCAGACTCGACCACCCGCAGACGGAAGAAGGGGCCGCCCGCGGGACACCCACCGTGATGAGGATGCAGTGGAGATCCCGCGGCTCCCCGGAGTCCTCGCTGGGCCCCACGATGGCCGCCAACTTGGCCACGTCGTTCACACGCACAATGTCGATGTCGTTCTCGCAGCAGAAGGCTTGGATCAGAGTGAAGTGGATCTGCAGGGCGATGTCCCCCTCGTCCTCGTGGTCCGCGGCCAGCACGCAGAACGCGACGTTGTCGGGGTCGCTGCAAGAGGGGAGCAGCATGATGAGTCCCGCGGTCGGCGCCGGCCGCCCCGCAGCCCCGCCGGGCTGACTTAACACACTCCCCCTGTC